GCACTCTTTCGAGTTTCTTTGCGTGGTGTTGGGCTCAGGTGTGTAGGTCTGGCTCAAAAGATATCTGCACGCTGCAACACAGATTCCTATGTTTTCTCCTTTTTCTTTATTTATATTTATAATTCTCTTTCTTGCATTATCACACATGTATGTTCTTGTTATTTCCTCAGCGCGTTCCCTTAGATTTGGAGGTAGGCTATGAAAAGTCAATATTAACCAGAACTGAAACCTTTTCTATCACTATCTATTTCAAAGAACCCCTGTTATTTATAACTTTATTTCTCAAGAGAAAAGATTTTTATTTGCTATATATTTCCATTATAACATGAAACTAGGTCCTGATTAGTTTTTTGTTTCGTGACTCCTAAAAACTGTGTTTGCGACAACATCAATTGAGATATCAAAAGCAAATACGCTCGAGAAATTCGCTTTTAGCCTTCTAGCCGCAGAAGGCAAGTCCATGCAATGAAGCGTTCTAAGACCTCTGTAAACTAGAGACATTACGTAAACGAGGATGTAATGTGTTGAGGGGTCAAATATTTGCACTAAATCTGTGACTCTCAATACAATACCATAGGTGCACCTGGCGAATTCTTTCCACGTGCTTCAATAGTAAAGAGACAACTTATTTAATATTTGTATATGAGTAAGCTTATTTTCCCTACTTGTAAAACTCCTTGATGAAGTCTATTAAAACAAGGACTTTGACCTTCATCGCCTAAAAACCCTCGTGCCGGTTCATTGCTCGAATAAAATTTCAAAGTGTTGGTATTCTTCATGGTATTTCTTGTCCTGTCATTTGGAATGTTTGATACAGTCGTGCTGTTAATGGAAAAGAAGTTATCTTACCGATTTTGTTTTGCCTAGAAAGCTTTCAAATAATAGCAAATAAGATAGCAATAAGAGCGCTTGGGGACAGATGAAAACCTCAGTATTTTCTGAAATGAAAAAAGGCAAGCCTGCCCTCTTACCACAGATAGTTCTTTTGTGCATCATCAGTACATACTTAGTCTTAATTGTACATGAAGTTGATTGTTCCAGGTAGGTTAACCTAATAAACTAGTTATGAAAATTTCTTGAACCTGTCGTTGAGTGAATGTTTGACTCAATTTTACCTCACAAACCTAAGGTCACTGCCTATTAAAATCCTTAGTTCCTTTACCTTGACAGCCCAACCTCATCAAAACATCAATTTAGCAACAGGAGCGATTAGCAAATTAATGATACAGACAAGAGAGCCCATTCCCACATACACCCTCCTCAATCCTGTTCACTTGCTGTGGACATGACATTTCAAACAAAGTGTATGTTTCCCTTAATTATTATATTGTAATGGTGTTTACAAATTGTGAAAAATGGTTGGGTTGAAATATAATAAAACGACTTGCCAGTAGGTAGTCAAATGAAAACTTTTTACACATCCATAAAATTTTATTGTTGTGTTTCATGTTAACATGTTGCAACAACTCTGCCTTCCAGTAAATTCAACTATTTGCAAACATAAGAAAATACTCTGTAAAACTTTTCAACCCATTTAGTATAGCCAATGACAACATCAACTCAACTTTAAAACTAAAGAGAAAACTTGATTGAAGTTTGGAATTGATTGCTGTGATGTAAAAATTAAATCCAGGTATTATCTCAAGTTTTCCACAAATGTCTTCATGATCGAATCCTACGTCTCTCTTCGTCATCAAGTTTTAATGATATTTTTGCAGCGCAAGAAACATGTTGGACAAATTTCGTATTTCATTAGCTAGAGTTGCTAAGATCATGGCCAGTTGGCTTAAAGAAACCTACAGTGTAAGTAGTTGCAGCAGAGGTTACTGAATCAAATTACAGAAAAAGTCTTAAAAACAGGAGGTTGAAACATTAGGGAAAAACGGTGGGGCAAGCAGTCATACCTGACAACTTCAAGAGAAGATATAAGATAAGCCCATACGATTCTGGCGTCTTGATTAACTAATTCACTGTTATTTCGTGTATACTCTTCAATCGATCGGTGATGTCTAAACTCTAAGTAGTTTACCACCTTTTCTTTCAATTTTGGCTCATTTTCCCTCACCAAAATTATCAGTCACGCTCAAAAGAATATAATTTCAACTGATGCTGACATTACACACGTCATCTGAAGAAGGAAAGATTCCCTATCTTCGAAAATTTGCTCACAGTATCGAGAATAACAACGAAGGTCCTCAGCTGCCTGAAGATACCGCTGACTAGCGTGCGTGTTCATGGCTTTGAACTTCGTCCCCAGGTTCCAGACCTCGTCAATTCTTTCCTTCCCTCCTCCCCCCCCCTCTCTTCCCTCCCCAAAACTCTTCATCAGCTAGTGTTGAAGTTTTACTACAGTTTTTATTTTAATGATGGGCTAGAAAATAAACTAACAAGAGCTCCGCTTTTAGGCTTGGCTAAATCTAAATATTAAAGGGGAATTAAGATTAGTACTGTAGCTTTCTGGCAAGGGGAGATATTTGACCTCAAAGTTGTCAAATATTTGGATGAATCGAAAAGTCTAAAAACACAGTCGTTTATTTGTCTCTGTTGATCGACAAGCCGTTAATCAAATTGACTGATACTTGCGTCGGACATTTACTAAGGATGTAATAATATGTGTGAAAATCCTCAGATACCATCGCAGTAAGAGCTTCATATATTTTACCTGTTTTGAAGCGATTTCCTTGGTGAAAACCAAGAGGAACAGGTGGGGTGGTCTATCGGGGAGGGGGTGGGGGTGTTTATTAAGAAACTATAAACTGTACTGCCCTGGCTATAGTTGAAGCTTAACAAAGTCATAGACAAAGTGGTAGTAGAGTCAGGTTTTCCAATTACATCTAAGGACAGTGAGAGAGAAGGGAAGAGTGATCATTCGATGGAGGGGGGAGGTTCTTGTATGATATATTGGCCAAGGGAGAGGGGGCTTCGTAGAGCATGGGCACTTAAACAAGGAAACAGAGTAATTGATCATAGTAAAAAACCGAAACAGAAACCAGTTTATCTTTTTTAGTTTTGGGATAGACCCTTTAAACTGGCAAAGTTTCGTTGAAATCGGTGAGATGACATGTTGCACGACTGCCTGTTGCTCTAGTAGACACACTCTTAAAGGCCCACTCCCAACCTTGATGCAACGCGGTCGTTTTGTTTTTGTTTTGAACCATCGTTTTTGTTTAAATAGCGCCCCTTGTCACGTTGTCCCAAATTACCTTCTGCGTTTTCTCTGGTGAATTTGAAGAGCTTGTCAAAATAATTCGGTTTAAAACCGTTCTATACGTTTTAATCCGGCATGGAATCAGATGAATCCTTTGATTTCGTTTATTCCGAGGCAGTAAACGCTTATGGATCAGTTGTTGCTAAAGAGAAACACGAAAATTCTTGCGAGTATTTCGAATAAGGTGAAAATGTTGATCCACTATGTTTTCATCCATTCATCAATTTTATTTTAAAATTGAAGTTTGCCATCCTTGTGAAATAGGAGCAAGGGTCAGTTGAGGTTTCCTGCCCGTGGGGAGGAGCTTGTGCTCGAAAGAGTGGTCGGGGTTGTTGTCCATGCAAAGCAGCAAATAAGTACGACAGAGAGAAAAGTTTGCACAATCACGTCACGCAATATATCAAGCTGGATTTGTCCAATTGATTTTGATGGTCGTAGGGAAATGTCGAGTTTGTCGCTCAAAACCGTTGTGGTCCATAAGAGCGTAACATCATTAATGACGGAACCAAATTTGCAGAAAGGAGGGCTAGTTCATCGGGTTCCGTGTACTAAATCTCGGGAGAAACTGCAAGAATTGTTTCAGAGTGTATGCGCGTTGTTTTGTAAATATAAACACTGTAACCTATTTTAACTTTTTTTTTGTATCCTTTTAAGCAACGCGATATGTCTGTTATGACCAGAGTGCCAAATTTTATTCTTTAATTTTAATCTTCTCCACACTGTGAGTAGTTCATGACCTGATATTTCAACGTAAATTATCGAGAAGGCGCTTTCCGATCACCTTTGTCTACTTTGTAAGTCACGCAAGTGCAGAAGCGTTACGACCGATCACGTTTACGCAACGTTTTAGGACAACTCGGTATCTAATCTCCATCTCCATGGATGGAAGCTGGAGATACACCCGTGGGTTTGAGGCAATCCGTGACCTCACTGGTGTGTAAACTATGCACTGATATGCTTTTTCGGCCCGATTAACGCCTGCATTTTGAGAATTCTTTCGTACAAAGCAGTGAATTTTTAATATGCAAATTAAGGTCGAAGAGAAGAGTCTCCTCTGATCACGCTGGTATGAAAAATATTTCAGCTGAAGTTTCCATGTTTTGTCTGGGAACTAACTGAATACATCTTGTAACTTGTAGCAAGATAGAATTCCATGAGCTACATTGTTGCAGTCGCTGCGCGCTGAACAAAGTTTTTGAAATCTACACTTTCGATCGCTGTCCCCAGGGTTGGTCTGGCCAAAAATCATTTTTGGCTTGTGGCGACGCAAAAAAAGAGAATTGGAGAACAACTAAACTATTTTTGAAACATGTGACTTAAACCCTTTTCATGGGAAAAAAATAAAAGAAATTTTTTTTTCCGACGGGAAGTCGAGAGGACCGCTCTTAGCGAGAGCGGCATTTAAATCGAATCTAGACTTTGCTTTAGGCGTTTTGTTAACGAGCTGTTGGGACTTTTGTTGATACCAATCTGTTACAATTATTTTGATTACTCGTTTCGCATAAGCGGCCATTTTCCAGTAGAAGTTTAAAATGATACAGTCTCCTCGCGGGAGGTAAGTTTAGCGAGATATGACGCAATCCTTGACCAACCAGACTGCATGCATCGCTACAGTCACTGGAGCAATTATACTAATAAGCCATGATTATTATAATTAGAATTATTGTTGTTATTGTTACAAATTTTATTTGTCACCTAATTTTTCTCCTAACGTCGCTAGTTCCAAAACAAATCTCATGTCTCTGCATCCTCCTTGGAGTTTGACGCCCTCTTTTCACATTGTTTGATTTTAGGCGGCACTTCTCTGAGCGAGGACAACAAGGAATTGAATCAGTTACGCTCTGCTGAAAGGGACAGTGATGTCACTGAGATGAAATACACGCTTCCTCTTGGGTTTTCTGTTGACTCCAGAGACGCAGCAGGCAGAACGCCGCTAATGAATGCTGCTTTGTATGTCAACTTTCAAGCGGTAAAGAATCTGATTAAGAGAGGAGCAGATCCGTCCCTGGTGGACAACGGAGGATGGAATTCGTTACATTTTGCCGCAAAGGGCGGAGACACTGATATCATTGCTCTTATCCATACTCATTTGCTAAAGATTGGGTCACAAACAGGCGAGGGTTACACGCCACTGATGGTAGCGGCTTTCAGTGGCAAATTAAATGCAGTGGAATGGTTTCTTGAGAAGGGGGCAACTGTAAACTGTGTAGACAACACAGAATGGAACACGTTACATTATGCCGCACAGGGCGGAGACACTGATATTATATCTCTAATCCATATTCACCTGCCCAACATTGAGTCAAAAACAGACGAGGGTTGCACGCCACTAATGGTGGCCGTTTTTTATGGCAAATTACACGCATTGCAATGGTTTCTTGAGAAGGGGGCAGCAGTAACCTGTGAAGACAACAGAGGATGGAACACGTTACACTATGCTGCACAGGGTGGAGACACAGATATTATATCTCTAATCCATACTCACCTGCCTAAAATTGAGTCAAGGACCAACGGGGGTACCAGACCACTAATGGTGGCGGCTTTTTGTGGCAAATTACATGCAGTGCAATGGTTTCTTGAGAAGGGGGCAGCAGTAACCTGTGAAGACAACAGAGGATGGAACACGTTACACTATGCTGCACAGGGTGGAGACACTGATATTATATCTCTAATCCATACTCACCTGCCCAAAATTGAGTCACGGACCAACGCGGGTTCCACACCACTGATGGTGGCAGCGTTGTGTAGCAAATTACATGCAGTAAAATGGTTTCTTGAGAAGGGGGCAACTGTGAACTGTGAAGACAACAGAGGATGGAAAACGTTACATCATGCCTCAAAGGGCGGAGACACTGATATTATATCTCTAATCCATACTCACCTGCCCAACATTGAGTCAAACACAGGCGAGGGTTACACGCCCCTAATGGTGGCGGCTTTTTGTGGCAAATTACATGCAGTGCAATGGTTTCTTGAGAGGGGAGCCAATCCTTGGGCTAAAGATAACAAAGGAAAGGATTCTTTTTATCATGCCTCATCATGTGACTCAGATGTTTTGGACTTGCTGAAGAGTCACGTGGCTAAAAGTGAGTAAACAACGAGCAATGATTAACTCAGGTTGCTGAAGTAAGCTTTACAGCTTATTTTATATTTGCTCAATTCTTCAATGTCAAATGTAGCTCACTGGTTTGTTTGCTCCGTCAACTTCAAAGCCGTTCTTTTTGCTAAGTGATCTATTGCTACAAATGGAGGTCTTTAATAGCCTGTGTGTTATTTGATATTTTACCAACTAGACTTACGTACAATCTATACAAGTTGTGAGCTGTGTAACAGTTTCGGTACTGATTTGCTTATATCGTTTAAGTTGAACTTGACCTTGGGCTTTCTGTGGTATGTTGGCTGGTGTAATGATTTAGTTCTTTTAAGCTGGTTGATTTCAACACTGTGTGCATACAGGCATTTTTCTCAGAATTTGTTTATCCAGATTTTTAAAGCTTCCATGAAATCAGAGTTGTACAAGTCACCCGAAGACAAAAGTCAATGGCATGTGGACAGACTATGTCAGAGCAAAGCCATAAGCTCAAAACATATAAATGATCCGCATGAATCGTATGTTGCGGTGTTAGTGCTGGGCTACCTTTGGCATGAGATGATATGTACCAAGATATACAGTCTCTTAGTGCAGCCACAGGCGGCCCAAGCTCACGTCTCGAGAAAGCCAACGATGAATTCATGAACGCGTCACGCGTTGTGTGACTCGGTGTTAAGTTACGGAAGGAACCGTTGAAAATTTGAACACGTTATAAAGAATAGTATGGGGAACGAAATATGGTCGATTTACAACGATAAATATTTCGAAATATGAATATTTTACACGTAAAATCAATTAAACTTACACATGCCCTGTGTATCCGTCGTAGTTTCTGGCGATTTCTGCCGTTTTAAGCTTGCTTTACCATCACTGTTATCCATGTCAAAAGACGAAGTCAAGGCTGCACACTCCGATTTCGACCGTGGTCCTTTCTACCTGAATTTCCAGGTTCGCTTCTTTCTGGTTATGCTTTGAACACGCAGACTGGACACGGCCGCGAAAGAGACTTTGGTACGAGGTCAATTTGCGCGTGAAGTTTTGGTATTGAGACATGTCCCAGGGTGCAGTGATCTTAGATCGTAAAGTGTGGCTGAGAAAAATGTCGATCGGGAGGATTTTCGGGGCGCAAACCACCTCCGCGTGGACCACGGTCGAAATCGGAGTGTGCAGCCTTGAGACGAAGACGAAGTCAAGGCTGCACACTCCGATTTCGACCGTGGTCCAAGCGGAGGTGGTTTGCGCCCTGAAATCCTCCCGATCGACATTTTTCTCAGCCACACTTTACGATCTAAGATCACTGCACCCTGGGACATGTCTCAATACCAAAAGAAGCGAACCTGGAAATTCAGGTAGAAAGGAACACGGTCGAAATCGGAGTGTGCAGCCTTGACTTCGTCTTTTGACATGGATAACAGTGATGGTAAAGCAAGCTTAAAACGGCAGAAATCGCCAGAAACTACGACGGATACACAGGGCATGAGTAAGTTTAATTGATTTTACGTGTAAAATATTCATATTTCGAAATATTTATCGTTGTAAATCGACCATATTTCGTTCCCCATACTATTCCTTATAACGTGTTCAAATTTTCAACGGTTCCTTCCGTAACTTTACACCGAGTCACACAACGCGTGACGCGTTCATGAATTCATCGTTGGCTTTTTCTCGAGACGTGAGCTTGGGCCGCCTGTGGTGCAGCGTGTTGTTTTTCAGTTGTCGTAGGAATCTTCATTTATCTTAATAAAATAATTCAAATAGTATGCGCGCTCTGATTGGCCATAAAACCATTTTACATGAGCGTATGTAAACACGGTTTTCGTTCCTCTTTCATTAGTTATTTTATAAAAGAAATGTAAAATGGTTTCCGTGTTTACATAGCCTGATGTAAACACGCGGGAGGTTGGGAGAACACGCGATAAGCGTAGGAAACCACGACGCGAAGTGGAGTGGTTTCCTACGCTTATCGAGTGTTCTCCCAACCTCCCGCGTGTTTACATCAGGCTATGTAAACACGGAAACCATTTTACATTTCTTCATCTTAAAATACTCATTGGTTTTGTCTCTTAGGTTGCAGTTTGCGTGGTATTGTCAATATTTGATGTTTTCATGAGGCATGTACTATTGCGCTTGTCTTACTCTTTCTTCCGCGACGCTTCTCACTCTTCTGACTACTCCAATGAAGCTGACAGGTGGCAAAGCATTCTCTTCCACTCTGCACTAATATAATAAATATGTCTAACATTTGAGTCTGAGCTGTGTTTGGTTCTTTTAATGACTGCATAATTTGTATGTTTTCAAATTCATGAGATTCAGGTACTGTGATGAAATACTACTGGAAGTATGCAGGCATAAATTGCCGAGCCATATATCTTTAAGTGACAAACATACGCACATGGACATAAGTTAATCCCAATGAGAGCGCTATTAATGATCTAATAATAATACGTGCATTTGGGGTTGTGAGTTTTGTGTGGCTTTTGAACATGTAACTGCTTGGTTTACGTTGGAGTGTTAAAATAAGTCTTTTTAACCTAAACTCGTTACTGCAGGTGCAGCTCCACACGATTCAACAGAACAAACACAGAGAAATAAAAAAGAAGCTTGGACAGCAACAGGAACAGCTGTAGAAGGTATATACCATGTGCCTATCAGCAATTTATGTATTTCAATCAATATAAAGTACGACGGGGGAAGGGGGGTTAAGGTTTGGTCTGGCTAGCATTCTTAAGAATACGATCCAAATTGAAGACACATACATGTAGTGCAGTTTTTAATTTATTGCTGATTTTAGTATCAGATTTATGAGATATATGCGTGCACTTGTCAGATACCTTTAGTTTATCTTTTACCCTTAAATGGTGTGTTATACTCTACATGAAAAGAGAAAAGATAAAGTTTGAAAATGTTTAAGGCAATTTTCTTAAGCAATGGAAGAATTTAAGGGTAATACTGTTATGAAGGGGGTTTTAACAGGTTCCAGGTACACTGTACTTTGTATACGATTGTACACACCTCTGAAAAGGGGCTTTTTATCAAACACAAGAACCAAATCTCAAGAGTTTCTCTTGTATGTACAGATATAGTTATCATTTTGATTGCATTAGTGGATTGTGGCTCATTGATCCCGAATCCTTAAGAAGCGATAAACTTGGACCATGGCATTCTTCTTAAAAGAGAGTAGAGTACATTTCAGGGTACTTCCCCCTCCCCCCATCCAATAATTTAACGGGCTTCCCTGACGAGTAACCAGTTTCTATTTATGCTCTTCAGTGTAGGCCAAAGCCACTAGATATGCATGAAGCAACTTATCCTAACCTAAGAACACAATAGAGGGGCTTTGATCCACCCCTATTACTTGGCCAGTTACCTCTCTAGCACAAATAGCAAACTGAGCCTTTGAATTATTGCAAAAGAGAGCATGAAGTTCATCCATTGAATTAATGAATGTTTTATCAAACTTCATTAATTATGGGCCTTTCCACATTAGTGGACAAAACTAAAATTTTTCCCAACAAAACCAAAGGGCAAATTTTGTCATGACAAATTTTTGTTTCCTTTGTTGTATCTGTATGAAAAATTTCAAAGCTGTCAAATTCTGTCAGTGCTTGATCTAGATTGCCATAGGATTTCACCTCCAATTTCTAGGATTTATCCTGAGTCATTTTAACATTTGAGAATTCCCGAGTTTTACAGCAAGAGTAAAGTTTTGTCTTGCCATTAAACTTATTTCAGTTCAGTTACATGCTGGTCCTAGCTTTTGCGACAAACAATCCACAAGTTTCCTACGGTTTTGTTTATTTACCAGTAGTCGATTTTGTCCAGTTTTTACCCAGAACAAATTTTTTCGGCAGTGTGTTTGAAGATTTGTCCGCCTTGGCCAAAAGTTTTCAAGTGGCAACAAACCATCCGCACTTGTAAAATGTTGGTGATGACAGAAAATTTGTCTAAATAAATTATTCTCTTGCTAGTGCAGAAAGGCTCTATGTTGACAATTTTCGTTGAACAGTTATTGGGAATGGAATGGCAGTAAATTGTTCGTCATAATGTATACTGAAAACAAATACTTAAAAAACCTAATTTCCTTAGCCCATGAGAAGGAAAAAGTACCTTATCACACTTGCAGAAAAGATTTAGCAGATGAAGAAAGTGCAACAGTGGACGCTGTAGATGATCAAAAGACTCTGATCAGAAGGTACATTTTTCTGCAATGACTGAGTTGTTTGCCTTTCCCATGTTTTGTTTCTTTTTTTTATCATGGAATCACAGACCATGGCAAAAAGAAGGGTTGGAGTTGCTAGAGGTGATGATTGGCTTTCATTGGTGTGATGCACCATTTGTTCTCTAAACCGCGTCAATTTTCCAGCCAACGAGAAAGCTTCACTAAAATACAACAACCAATCAGATTTAACAGATTGTTTCTAGAAATCAATCAAATGTCAGAAAAGTGAAAGACAACTTTTGCAACATTTTACACACCAGCTCAGAACTGGATCAATAACATACATATATTTGTACAGGCTTGAGAAAAAATTTTATTTATTTAGCAACTGAAGTTTGCAATCTTGAAATAAATGTAATTAAGTCGTAATTGAACTTTGTGTTGTGTACTTTTGGTCTGAAATCATACCTGTGATTTCAAATCTCACTGCTACTGGCCACTCCTTTGATTTAGATGCCACGCATATGATTTCAGACCATATTGTACTCCCTCCAGTTCAGTTACCACTATTAATTAACAATTTATGTTCTAATGGTATTTACTATTTACCTTATATTTATTTTCAGTGTTTTCATTAATAAAGGGTTACTTATTAAAAATGATAGTGAATTATTTTAATGAATGTCTTTATTTATGATTCTAATTTGAGTCTATTTGAGTCAGAACTATAAATTGATGGAAAAATTTCTTATTACAGCTGGCTTAATAGTCTTAGACACAAATTTTTGGTTTTGCCATTGAAATTGGGTTTTTGCAGGAACAACCTTCAAGATGTCTGTACATT